GTGGAGCTGTGGATCGAGTTTGAGGGACTGATTCGGTGGTTACTTAGCTGCTTGTGAAGGATCTGTCCCTGAAGCTGTTAGAGATGAATGGTGAGTCTGCTGCTTGGCATACCGATTGGAAGCAATGGTTATTTATTTATCTACCCATTATATAGATTATAATTTACCACATGTAAATTTAATATTGGTCTTAATAGCAATGATAGTAATAATATGTTTAATGGTAACGAAATTATAATACGCAGGTAGGAAATAAAATTAAAAACGAAAAAAAGAAAGAAAAAACTCTGAAAGTATAATAATAATAGATTTACAGACATATCACAATGAGATGCGGAAGTGTATAATGATTAAATTGACTTAAGGGCGAAGCATGATGCTATCTCTAAACATTTTATTTTAGTTGTTTTCAGTATTGTTATCTAAGAAAATTCCATTAATTATTCTGCTATCGACCAGCCTACTTACTATTGTAAAGGATCAGCAAAAAAACTTCTGCAGTTCACTACCAAAAAAGGCTAACTTCGAAATAATGTTGGTGAAAGATAAAACTTCTTCATAAAACCCTGACGTAGCAATACTTGGTGAAATAATTGTCAGCGAGCTAATTTCCCCCTTTTTTTATCGCCAAGTATGCGTAATATTAACCGGTTTTAGCTTTAGCTAACACATAATGAAACAAGTAAATCAGCAAGACTGGGAATTTTACGTACACGTACAACAATTATTTTTGTGAACTTTTTTTAAAATCTGCGTCATCAACAATTACATTCTGCCCAAGAATCTTACTATTCTTATTTTTCACAAAGATGCTGAAACCGTGTGCTCGTAGCCTGTAAGCTTGAAATGATTATTATTATAGTTATAGCAAAATGATGTTAACGAATGATTTCGTGTGTCTTCCATCGAGCACAGCTAAGATAAATCTCTAGAGCTGCTTCCATATTAACAATTGATTTGATGAGTCCTTTATTGGGCACAGCTACAGTAATGAATAGAATATACTTTCTTTGTAACAGAAGGTTAGATGTCGTATTTCTTTTGGAGATAAAAAGATCAACGCCGCTTTAAAGGTTAACTAACTAACCCAGCCATCTGTATTGCGAAATGACAATGTAGTGTTTTACGTCGGATTGATGAGTCGTATCGGTGTCCGTTCCGAGCGAACTTCATCAACTTATTACGTATTGTCGAAAGAAATTACTGCTAAGGCGCATGGTGTTATGGTAATTACAAAAAAACTAAGTCAATTCCGACTACAGCAATAGTCCTCAATTTATAGAAGACCGGTTGCTACAACATTCTTGCTGATAAACCTGTAACCAATCACATACCAAAAACTATATTGTTATCTTTTCGCCTGTTCCTTGAAGACAACACATGGGGCGTGTGTTTTACAACAACATGTGTGTAACGCTTTTAGACTAATTTGACTAGTATGTACTTGTCTAGTGTATAATACCTGTGTGTTAAAAGAATTCATATTTTACGCCAACCTGTTAAACCCGAAAGAAATGGTGCGTGTGCTTTGTATTTTATTTATCCATTTAAATAGCTTCCGTCTGAACTTCTTTCTTTTACAACACTTCTAAAAACAGAAAGTTAAAGTGCTCACACGTAAACCCGAAGAGTATATACGCGAAAAATCCAGTGATCTTCACAGAATAAGACGAAATTATGATCCCGTTCTCCACCCGCTTGAAAAAGCTCGCGAATACACGCGCGCACTGAATGCGGTGAAGCTAGAACGGATGTTTGCAAAACCATTCGTTGGTGCTCTTAATGGTCACAACGATGGCGTCTATTGTATGGCAAAGAATCCAAGAAAGATTACGTCGCTGATATCTGGGAGTGGGGATGGGGGTGAGTTGAATCGAGAAACAATGGATCATGATTACGGTACATTAGACTAAGAAATGAATCGTGTAGAAATTCGGCTGTGGGATTTAGCCGATCGAACAACGGTTTGGAGTGTACAGGGACACAAGGGTATTGTCAAAGGAGTTTGTTGTAGTCCTGCAGGAAATGTTTATCTGTCATGCGGTCTTGACAAGACTGTAAAAGTGTGGAACCCTGACGTATCGACTGAGGTGAGGTAAGATTTATTCGTATGTTAGTAATAGGCGAGTCATCAAGTGCGACTGACTTTTGTGCTTTTCTGTCTTATAGCCCGCGAATACATACTTGGGGAAGTTTGCGTATAGGTAAGGCCCATAGTATGCGGGAACTGTTTACTGTTAAGCGCAATTCACGAATAAAATAAATATAGTGCGATAGATCATCATCGGTCCGATCCGATTTTTGCTACTTCAAGCACTCAGATAGAAATTTGGGATGAGAGCAGGTAAAGCGTGTGTCTATATCCTATTCAGGATATCAACCAGTAATTCTATAAAACTGACCGATTGAGTTGTACGAATTTCATCGTCTTCTCTCTTATTCATTCTGCCTAGATCTCAGCCTATAAACACGTTCTCATGGGGAGCAGATACAATAAACACAGTACGATTTAATCAGACTGAGAAGAGTATACTAGCAGGTTGCGGTAACGATCGTTCGATAATCCTATATGACATGCGAACTGGTTCTCCACTGGCTAAAATGGTGATGGAAGTAAGTCTTATGTCTGTATGTTCGCATCTTCCGCAATCGACTTTTTGCCTAATGTGGCTCGAAATTCATAGATGAAGACGAATGCCATTTCATGGAATCCGATGGAAGCGTTCAACTTTACTACAGTATGTTACCTTGTCTTTGTTATGCGTATGGGAAATCATGTGGTCAATTGGTCTGAAAATATAACATTACTAGGCTAATGAGGACCAAAACTGCTACACGTTCGACATGCGGAAAATGAATGTAGCATTGAATATTTTCAAAGATCATGTGTCAGCTGTGTACGTTCATTTCGATCGTCTCATTCTTATTTTTTGTTTTCAGTAGTTTCCAACCCTAACCTCGCTTATGAAAACATAGTCTCGACATTGATTATTCGCCAACTGGTGAAGAAATAGTAACTGGTGCGTATGATCGCACACTTCGAATATTCAGATCACGTGAAGGACATAGCCGAGACGTCTACCATACCAAGAGAATGCAGAGAATATTCTGCGTCAAGTATAGCATCGATTCTAAATTCGTATTATCGGGCTCGGATGACGGCAATGTCAGGTTATGGAAAGCTAAAGCTTCTGAAAAACTAGGAGCGGTGAGCACACAAAGAAATTGATAGATGTTGATTGAATTAGGCGTTTATTATATTATTGTATGAAAACAGAAAAGCTATCGGGAGCGGGCTTATCTGGAATATTCTGAACAGCTCAAAGCGCGATATAAAGATTTGCCTGAGATCAGACGTATTGCAAGGTATTTTATAAAGAATTTCTGAACTCCACTGCGCACGTGCGTCGTCGACATTGCTAATACTGTCAATTTTACTTATGAAGGCACCGTCATATACCCAAAGATATCAAGTCTATGCAGCAGAAGAAACAAATTATGCTCAGCGCACAAAAACGAAAAGAAGAAAATCTCAGAAAACATTCAAAAGAGGGAACAGTACCATATCAAGCGGAACGCAAGAAAAAGATTATTGGAGTCGCAAAATAGATATAAATTATTTTTCATCTTTAATCTCACGATTTATTTTCGACAGTAAATGTTCGATCTGTGTCTTCATCACCGGCTGTCCTTTAACTGTTCGTTTCCACAACTGTTTTTTTGTTCGCTTGCGTTGAACCGTGTAAACTTCTTGCCTTTGTTTTTCTAATTCTTTTTGCCTATGAGCAGCCTGTCGGATCATGAGGAATATGGCGTAGGTTATGACTAAGCAGATCGAAATAGTGATTAATAAACGGACTTTTCTGTTTGTCACGTTACCTCTATTTGTTCCCGTTTTTCCTGTCTCTGTCGCTCGCTTTCATTGAGAACTTTCTGGAAAGGATTTGGTTTATGTTTTCTGCAAAACAAAAGATGAGCTGATATATTGAAAGGCCTCAACAAAATTTTGCATATGAACTCTTACTTGTTCTTTTTAATGTGCTAAGGGATTGAAATGTATGTATGCTTAGCGAATTCTATAGCAGTTAAGGAATCAGTTTATGAATGCAGCAATTCATTACACATACGCTTCTTGCACCCTGGGCTTTATCTTTGCCTGTCGCAGATTCATTTGCATTTAAATGCTCGCCATTACTCATCACATTATCAGTCGCCTCATCCGGACAGTTTTCATCTTCTATACGTTCGGCATTGTCACTATTGTCTGTGTCTTGTGACCGTTGCTCATGATCGACTGTTTCCTTCACGTCTTCTTCCTCAACCTCTTCAAATATCTATAGTAAATCATCAGATTGAGTTTAGATATTTGGGTTATCTATTTCAAAGGCTTTCCTGCGCTTACTTTTCTAATAAATTCGGGTGTCTTGGTAATGAAATCGTCTTTCTTCAAAAATTTGTGGAATTCCTTTTTAACCTTCGCTTTATGTATTAGCTTATTCTTTTTTATTTTTTGAACTGCATTTATTACATCGTGAGCAAATCAGAGAAAGATATATTCATTTTAGAATGTTGGTTTACTGAATTTCATATATATATACACACCTTTCTCACGATAATTTAATGGTCTGCGAGATCGAAACGAATGTGATCGAGTCATGGTGAAATCAAAGTTTGAAAATTTTCACACAGGTGCCTTTTCAGTCATGTGCGTTAATATAAAATTATAGTAATAGTGATAGAGAATCATACTTCGAATATTAATAACAATTATCTTAAATTGTAAATGACGATTAGTGACCTTACAATTAGTTTTGGAATTCTCACGATGCTAAATCGAAATCTATAGGTCGGGGAAGTTTCCTTCACTAAACAGTATTTAAAAATGTCAGTTTCTACGAATCGACGGCAAGCTTAACCCGTTTCCCGTCGATATCGGGAAAGTGTTTTCACTTTACCAATGGTAGAAATAATAAACCGGTTTTTATTAGAATATTGCAAGGGGTTATTACAAAAACTGATGTTTTGAAGTAACGAAAGCACAAACTTACTGTGTAAAACGTTTATTCTAATATATACAGTAAATCACACTGGTAACAAATTCCTTACATCTACAACAATGGTTGCAATCACCTTCTATTCTACTTCAGGTATTAAGTTGCAAAACTGTTACGTATTATTTATTATTACAGAGATAAACTCTGGTACTAACTTAATGTAGTACAGTAGTACTAGTAGATGAATGCATTTATTATTATGTAGTATCATGGAATGTAGATGATTGCCATGAGGAAGCATTTCTGATCAAAAAACAGAATGTTAAGGTTAGAATTTTTGTTGCTTTATTACACCACAAATTGTTGAATGTTAAATGGGGTAACCCCTTCCCCCTCTCATTCTATCACGTCTTGTAATATTAATTCATCTAATCTTTAGTTTTTAGCATATAGCTCCTATTAGGCTCAAACATGTATTTTTATATGATGTGAAAAAAGCAGCTTCAGAGGTCCACCTTAGCTGTGCTTAATAAAGGACACACAAAATATGCCTCTGTGTCAGAAAACGTATCTCAACATTTAGGAATTGGTCATACTCACTTTGAAAGTATCAGAAATCATAATCACCTAACAGTGAATGGTATAATAATATCACCATGCATTCAAGGAGAGTGTCACAATGGAAAACCAAAAAATAACCATTGCTACTACCATGAAAAATTTTATGATGTAATTCATGGCTTAGTAGAAATGTCAATCGCGGTTGTGTATTTAAAATCAATTTGCAAGAGTCTCTGTGTTAAGAATGCGTACATCTTGAAGAGTAATAATTTTATGCTCGTGCTAGCTCTTTTATGACCTATTTGTATTATACAGTAAATGTATTTGACAAGTATATTTCATATTTTTATTGGCAGCACTGTATCAACGTATACTTTATTAATGTGAGATTCAATTATAGTTTTAATCTGTAGGTAGAAATTACGTCACATGAAAAAGGAATCATGAAAATCTACTTTTGGAATATCAACTCAGAAGTAGAAATACTGATAATAAAGAAATTTTCGCTTGATAAATGATGTTTTGCGTGACTCAAATATGACTTCGTTATAATGAGATTTTTCGTTATAATAAACTTTCGATAATTGTAATAAATGAAAGACGGCATTTCTTTTTTGAAAAATTGTTTCTGAGAATCATAAGGTTGGAATGAGCGAGCTAAACATTTTGGTCTGGCCCGATGGCTTCATCTTATTGAGAGTGACTGTGCACTGTTCTTGTACCAAACTCATACCCAGCTAAAATGTTGAAATCTTTTGGCCTAGACTTGCTGGAATCAACACCAAGATTGTATGCTGAGGGAGGTTATTTCTACGACTAAACGTAGTAGTAGAGATTAAAAATACAGATTAATATAAAAGTGTTGTGAAAACGTGTTTGAAGCGTGAGAAGGGTATCAAACTACTATGTACAAACATTGGATAAAAAGATGAACTTATATACTGTTTAGGGGAAAGTTTCCTTGATTTGCCAGACCAGGCAACGGACTTAAAGGCATATTATTTAAGATTTGATATATTAATATTTGTCGAAAAGAGAAGTAGAATTAATCTGCCAGCATTCCCAAGGAGGTTATATCTCATAATAAGGGACATTATAGTTTAATGTAAAGTTGGTAATATCTAATAAATTATGTAACATATGTTATACAACTTTTTTTTTTAATTGGGCGAATATTTATTACAATGCATTTTACGCATTGTTTTTCGCACACTGTTGGTAATTTCCTCCATAACATTCGTTTTTCCCCTCTTCTTTTTTGTCGGAGAAATGTTCTTTTGATAAATTTAAATGAAAAAATCAATTTTTCTTTTCTCTTTTTGAGTTCTTCGATTTTTTCTGCAAATATTGTTGTGTATGTTCCATAATTCTTTTTTTTTCCTTTCTTCAATTAGTTGTTTATATTTTCGCGTACTTTTCCATTATTAACAACTGCTGTTACGTAAGATAAATTGTTCCATAAGGTAAAATCAACCTATCGGTAGAAATTTCTCTTCTTCTAAGGCTTCCTCTCGTTGAATTCTCTCCGATCGTTCCAACAGGCAGCATTGCCTTTTGTGACAAACGATAGTTTTGTCCTAGCTAGATGGTCTTTTATATCGTTTCGACAATAAAACCTACTATTCTTCCAATTATTGTTTCGCCTATCTTTTCCTTACAACCGATAGAAATGCCCATTTACGTTTACGTTAACAGTAAAAATTATCTATCTTCGTCTCGATCACTCTCCATTACAACGCGAACATTTTTTGATTCGGGCTACATATTCTGCGGAGGTTTTTCTTCAAATCGTCATATGTACGGGATGTAGTTGTATTTTTTCTTTTTATTACTTACTCCACAACTGAGGCTTTCTTCTGTTAATTCGTGTATAATGATTCAGACGGATTTTTCCCTCCATTGTTGGATTTCTTCTTCACTGTCCCTTTTATACGGTCATTGTAAAATTCTATTGGCATACACTTTAGTTCCTTTTGTTCAATACGAATAACGTGTTCCATCGATACTTGATATTGAGCCGAAGTTTCTCCGTTATATTAGATCGATAATTATAGTGTCGTATACACAGACGTCACTTGCAATTCTTTCACGGGAAGGAATAATTGTGCGTGGAATTTCTTGAGTTTGCGTATCTCTCTCCCGGATTTCCTGATTTGTTTGTGGAATTCTTTTTCTAGCCCTTTTTGGAAAGCATTTGTCGCGCAAATATCCAATGTGTCGTATTGCTGTAATTGTTTTGGGCGTTATTCATTTATCTTCTTCCGTTAAATATTTGTACTTAATGTATGGTATAATTAATTATATACAATTAACAAAGTTTATATACATTTATTTGCTCAATTAGTTAACATGTCCTGTCCAAATTAAATATTAATATTAAATCGACACTGAATTTAAACAACAGTCGAAGAACTAATAGATGAATACAATAGCAAAGTTATCGAATAATTATTTCAAACAGAGTCAATCACGGAATGTTTCCCTACTTATTATTATAGTAATAACAATATTGTTTCAGTTTCTGCTGGCTGGAGACATTGGATGGACTATAATAAATCATGTCATGTGACAAAGCTACGAAAGTTGAAACTTCAAATAAGAACCGGCTTGAATAATTCATATGATTTTGTTATTACTTCACAGATATTCGTGCAATCCTGATAAAGAGTTTACTGCAAAAGAATAGCTCTTTTATCTTTATCATCACTTGTTATTATTCCGATGGATATATATTTATGTCTAACAACAAAATGCCGAAACTAGTTAAAATGACGGCGAAATAAAGCTGCATCTGGCTGGTAACAAACTTTTCACGTTAATATTGCGAGTTTGAAGCAACAACTCGACATCCTTTGAAATTAAGTAAGCATATTATTTGGTTATTATTAGTAGCATTTAACTCAACCTGCTTTGTCTGCGTATTAGGTAATATTAATGTGAACATCATCCACGTGAGCAGACTATCCCAACTCAATATGGTTTTTGTACTGTAATATTGATAATGCTCGTAAAAAACAGTTCGAAATTTCTGTTTGTTAGCATATGCATATCAATAGCCTATACACACCCCTTTTAAATATTCTGTCCTTTAATGGATAAATCAGCACATCAGAGATGCTATTTACGTTTTACGAAAGAAGCGTTACAACGGGATACGAAATCAATAATATGTACATATGGTAAGATCATTAAAAGCGATATATGACAAGTGTATTCAAAGCAAGTTGTGGAAATATTCTAATGAAATTGAAATGAGTGGGGACAAATATAGAAATAGAAATACAGCAGTCATCCTGCCCAGTTGTAACATACTAATACCTCTGCTATTCGGATAAGATATCCAATGTGAATTGAGAAGAACACTAAATCGTGCAACTGAGGATGTCTCAGAGATAACATATTTTCAAATTCATATATAAAAATATACATAATCTACTACCCGAATAAATGCACATACCTCCCGATATTCAGTCAAACTGATGGAATAGCCCATCCGAAACTATAAGTATTAATCAAATACCATACAATGACACAAGGCACCATAAAATACCAAATCTGCGCTAGTTCTATAATATTCCTCATCTGTATCTTCATTATCTTGGGGGAATCGTAAATAGATGTAAATCGTCCTTTGGAATAGAATTCTGTCATCAGATCGTCCTTTTCTGTCCAGCGTTGCCGTAGCCATTCTGTAAACTTATTTTCATCATTTGGAATATCAGCAATTGCATATCGACGAACATGAACATGGATGGTGGGTGGGTAGCGTCCTTCGAAAAATATCCGACGTAATGTGTAACGATCTTCCGGATATTCTCCGGATTGAACACCATCAAAACCAATTGTCATGTCATAGATATAGTCTACAGACTCTTGAAGCTCCTTCATACAGAAAAGGAGTCCTGTTGAGCGAGGAAGCAAGAGGTGCTTGTGGTCGACCTTTATGATTAGTAGAGAAGACAAAAGAGACAGGGGGCAGAGAGCGTGATGTGAGCGTGGAGAACGTATTACGACATTCATGACATTCCCGCGACTCGTTATGGACGTACCAAACCAGCTTTCTCTGCAAACTTCTGAGATGTTTTCCGCGTACAATCTGAGATAAGCGTTCCCTCTGGAAATATGAGTAACCACAGCGGTTTCATTGACTTTGCTAAATCACGCATTGTCTTTCCCAAATGATCCTTATCCGCCGCCCAGCTTCTTTTCAGAAAAATGAACTGGAAAAACTGCATCCCCTATATGAGTAAGTAAATGTTAAAAGTTGAATAACGACTGTGTCAATTTCATTTCCCGACTGATAATCAATATACATAAATACATAGAGAACAAGACAAAAATGACATTCCAATGACGTGACAATAATTATATACTAATCGGGACATCTGTTAACGACCGATATAAATATGCCGTTGAAATGTAATGTATGATTAACATTTCTACGTAAACTTACCCTGGCAGAAGGTGACAGAAAAGTCAGTAAAAGTTCAATATAACAAACGATGCCAATTTTGTAAATATTCCCACTAACTAATATGCTTA